TGAACAATCTGAATTTGGACATTTTTGCTATAAGTGGATAGAATTAGTGAAAAGACTTACGTAAACTTGTGTCTCAGAACATGTGCTAAATCCTTCCAAGCTACTGCCGCTATGTCAGTAGCTCCTGGGGAGCGTGACTGCAAAACGAAGATATTAATACGAATGAACTCCCGACAACCTCGCGATCTTACCACTGAGGCAAACGCTCGGTGCCAAACTATAGCGCCTTGTGCGTCGCAGTCCTGTGAACCATGAACAGTCACCATCAAAGGAAGTGAAAGGGTCCAAACATCGAACTATAAACAGCAACTATTCTAGCAAAAAGAAGTGCTGGCGGATCAAAAATTGCTCCGCACCTTCCCGAGATTCCCTAATTGGAATGGGCTGATATGAAACAACAACGCATATTTCTGGTCTGTGGCCGCTTGTGCACTCAATGAGCATTTCATATCTCCTCCTGCTCCTTTTGGCGGTGGTTTGCGATGAGCAATTCGAGTCAGTTTCTGAACGATTTCAGCAACAATTTTAAGAGCTTTGTCTAATTCAAAAGTACCGAGTTATTGAATTTCGCTGCCATATGTCCTTTTTCGTCCATCGTCATTTTTTCATAGTCGTTGCTAATGTTGCCTACTGTTTTGCTGAAGCAAAAAAGCAGTGTATACCAGAAAGATCAAAAAGGGGAGTATGCACTCACATTTCTTTGTGATTCATCTGCGTAGAGCTGAGCAGCTTCGCTTCTTCTTCAGCGATGATCTTCACCGTCACATTTGTGTTGACCAGGTGTTGTCGAATGCCTAGTTTGTCCCCAATCAGCAATCGCACCTGAAATGTCACAAAATTTATGCTTCTGACAAGAACGACAGCCTTAAAAATGAAAACAAAATACATGATAGCGAAACAGAACAAAGCTTGCTAATCATTCAAATTGCAAGAATGCTGGAGAAAAGAGAAAATAATTTCCCACCTCAGTTACAAACTTGTGTTGCGTTTTTAGTACGGGCTCTGGCTGCACAGATACCACAAAACTTTGCGAGA